TTTTTTCGATCATAACGAATTTTACGTTATATTCTCTGAATTTTCACTTTCTTCTTTTGTGGAATGTTCCGGGCTATTCTCAGATAAAGGAGTTTGCGTTGGTTCCACCGCTTCGTTGCTTCGTTTTCCCGTTTCGCTCACATTTTCACTGCTTTTCCGTTCGTTTTCTCCTGCCGTATTTTCATTTTTGTTTGGCTGTTCGTCACTACTTCCATCTTCTTCGCTTGTTCCAGGATCACCATCATCCGATTCTTCAGCCACTTCTTTCCTTTTCTTCTTATTCTTCAGGAGCTTCATCTTTTCCTTGTATCGTTGCCTTAAAAATGTTTTAAAATTAGTGCTGTCTGTTGCAGTAAAACTCGCTTAAATTTTCAGTTTCCCTTACTCACTCCAGCTAATCAGCAAATACTAAAATCATCCGAACAATCGATGTGAGAAACTGATGTCAGTGATGTTACTGGAATGCTCACTAAAGCCGAGCGCAGCTACGGCCCTATCTGTTACTAGGAAATGTTTTACTTTTTTATACCTTTTACTTTTTTATACTTTTTTATAATCTATATTTTACTTTTCCTTTTTATACCAATTACCTCATGCTACGGTGATGTTGTACCAGTTAAGATGTTCGAGCAATGTCACCTACCCACAAATCGGGGCTTTCAAAAACGAAAGTGGAAACTATACGAGCAATTGCCTATTCCATTGTTAATAATAAAAGTACTATTTTAAACAGGTAAAAACAGATGACGCTGAGATGTACTAATAATTGGACTCAAATTGGCCACGCTCTGGCCTCTTCCGGCATACTGACCGCGCTCTGGCCTTTTCTGACATGCAGGAGAAAGGGCGTCGGTTGGGATGAAGGTGTTGCACTACAGGGTGGCATTGGACCTCCAGGTACATGATTACTAGTTTTTTGCACAATTAACAAACCTCTTCAGGCGTTTCTTGGCTGTTTTCTTCTCTTCCTCCTCCAATCGTTTCTTTTGATTCTCCAAAAAATCAGCATCTAATTTTTCTTGCAACCATTTCTGATCCATGTAATCCAAACTAAACAACAAAAAATTCTGTTGCAAAAAAACGATTTTTTGGGGAGAGTTTCGCTGCAAAAGAGAAGAAAACGAAGCACAGAAATTTTCGGACAAACTTTTTTAAAAAGGGTACTTTAAAATGTTTTCGAAACTTCAAAA